CCCCCCCCCCCGGCTTATGTTTAAGTAGTTATAAACAAACTGGCTTTTGCCACCGAACGACAACTGTTTCTACAGCTGCGCCAACCCAATGAACTTATCCTCTGCGCCGCGGCTTTTACCGCGTGCACCCCCCCCCCCGGCTTATGTTTAAGTAGTTATAAACAAACTGGCTTTTGCCACCGAACGACAACTGTTTCTACAGCTGCGCCAACCCAATGAAATTGAATTCGCGGACGAGCGTTAATGGGAATGAGCTCTCTCTCTCTCTCTCTCTTTCTCTCTCGCACTTACTCATTTGTTTCAACTGTGTACGGGTGTAGGGGAGCCGGAGATCCTCGGTGGATGCCTCCGACTCCTGAAAGGGGTGGAGTGCAGTTGAGAAAGAGCAAATTGACGGGGAATTGCAAGTTTGACTTGCAAATGCGTTTCCAGGCTAAAAGTTGGACTGATCCTTTTTTTTTCCTTTCTTTCTTTCTTTCTTTTCTTTGCCGTGTTGGGCTTTTTCAATTAAGGACTTTGTCGAGTAGACTGTTTTTATCTCTCTCTCTCTCTCTCTCTCTCTCTCTCTCTCTCTCTTCATGGTCGACTCTTTAATGGTAAAAGCTCGTTTGTTAATTACCGTAGGACGATGTAATTTAAAAAGTGCAATTGATTTTTCAGTGGGGGTTTATTTTTTATTTTTAGAGAGCTCTCGTACACCTATACGCAAAAATACACGTTATGATTTATTTCAAAGCATACAGACACATCCTGCTATATGAACTAGCAGCTTTAAGGCGACATCAAAATATTTCGAAAGTTTTTTTTAGTTGTGTCTGACGATAATCGACTTATACTACTGGTTAAATTTAATCGAAAGATAATTGAAAAACTAAATTTCGCTGATATTCGATTAAAAATATTTTCGAGATTCTTTAATAATACTTTAATGTCTGACTATAATCGATCTATACTACTAAATCAACCAGTTATTCCGATGTAATAAAAAGATGAATTAAAAATAAAACTTTGTTGATGCTTACTAGTTCAAAATATGTTGGTTTCAAAATATAATGCATCACCTCGGCTGACCCGATCTATACTACTAAAACTGGCAAATAGGTGCAATGTAGCAAGAAGACGATGTATTTCGATATGTTTCAAAATATGGAAAAGATGTACATTTTATTTTATGTCTGACCATAGTCAATACCTACTAATGGAACAGTCAAATAATTTACGTGCAGTCAGAATACAATAACATGAAAGTATGGTTTATTATATTCACTTTGGCATATGTTTGAAATTATGATTGATACAATGTCTGACCATAGTCGATATATACTACTGAAAAAAGTAACAGCTTCACTGCGATAGAAAAATAACCTATTATAAGTAATTACTTCAAAATATGTTAGCGATTCACATTATATTAAACCGGCTGACCATAATCGATCCATACTACTGAAACAGGCAGGTATAGCATCTTATAATACAAAAAACGAAACAAAAATAATGTTGCACTGATTAAAAATGATTGATATCCGCATTGTGTAAAAATGTCTGACCATAATTGATTCACACTACTGAGACGCCTAAATAAATTCTCCGTCACGTATGCACAAAGATTCAAGAACCATTTTAAAATATCTCGAGGAGATACATTTGATTTTTCATGATTCTCTCAACCGATGGAGAGCGAATAAAAAAAAATACGGGATCCTATTTTCTTTTCATACCCTCGCTCGCAAAACACCACGTAAAATGAATAGAGATATCGACACACGTCACGTGAAACGCATATTATACGTATATATACACTCTGCAAACAAACGCACGCATTTCGCGTTATACAATATACAATCACAGCCGGTGCACCACAATCGGAAAAGAAAATCATCTCCCGCGATCAATTCCAGACTCCTCGCTCGCACAACTTACGCAAAAGCTCCTACACGTGTATAAGTATACATTGTACAGCCAACATTTAATATTCGTAGCCTGCTCGTCCGACAAAGCATGCACTCGTATGTATATATATATATATATACACACGAGAAAGCCTATCGTCGCCGTCCATCTCCACCTCTGCCTCTCAAAACAAGAAACTCGACGGGGTATACGTATTATACCCGCGTTAAGTGCAACCATTCATCTCCAACGCAGCCGTGCTATTTTTATAATATACACACGCTATGGCGCCCCGGCTCCTCCCAACTTGAATTTTTCCGTAATCGAACGGCTGGTTTATAAATAAATCGACTTTTCTCTCTCGTTCCGCACACCGCGATAACCTCGCACCACGACAACAACGCGATCAATCGCCAACGCGTCATCCGCAGATACGAATGGAAGAGGACATTCGCGAGGTAAGCACAGATATACATGCATTATACACTTACACGCTTGCTTCGTTTTTTTTTATTTCATTTATATATTTTTTTTTTACCTTCCTCGACGCTTACTTCCCTCCTTTTCCCTCGGCCCTCTCTTATAGCCCGACGCTGTGTACCGAGCGCTAAGCTAACTGGGTTAAACTCTCTCCCTCTTGCTTTCGTTTTGCACACCATTACTCCTCGCAGGGATCGATCGACGAGTCCTGGGTGCGTCGGGGGTACGATATCCCGCCTCGTTACAACGTGTTTTACATTTTTCGCCGGGATGCGAGCTGGGGAAATTTCGCGCTTCGATTCTTCCCCGCGGCGAGCGAAAATGGGAATGTAATTACGGCGCGTGGGACTCGTTGGGGCGAAATTGAATTTTTCCGCGCTCAAAGGGCGCGTGGTTATTGTTTGGCCCAACGGAGCGGGGGGGGGGAGGTTATCGAGTCCATGAGTTTGGCCCTTTTGTCGAAATCGAAGCGCAAGGGTTGACGATGACGAAAAAACACCGAGCAGGGAAAGACGCTTCCCAGGAGAGGTGGCCATTAATCTGCTTCGAGACGGTTTTATCCCGCGTGCTAAATTATTCAAGGGGCCAAATGGGCTCGGATCCTCCTCTCGCAGCCGCTGCTCATCTCTCTCGGCGGTAGGAACGGAGAAAAATAAACGATGGACAAACTTGCCTCTCTCTCTCTCTCTCTTTTTTTTCCCTCTCATACGCGCTGGGGCTGTTTTGAAAAACCCCACCCGCGACAGTTTGCACGAGAAATTGGTGTTTTTCCACTCGACAGCTGCCAAAGAGTCGATCGGTTCGCCTTTTATTGCTCGGTGTGTGCGCGCGTACGTGTCTCCGGATGAAAATACAATCGAGTGAATAAAAAAAAAAGAGAGGTCGGCTCTATCGTCCGTTGCATCACCTTTTCGGTCCACTAAATTTTTGCATAGCCCTGCAGCACTCGAGGCTGCTGCCCCGATGCTGTTCGCTTAAAAACGGGTAGTTACCGCGGTTGCTATACACCACGCTAGAAGTTGAATTTCATATTGGTGAAACATGGTGGATTGCTTTTTATTACCCGTATACTTTCATTGGCAGCGAAGCACCTTGATTTTCCTCGTCTGACCAAATATTGACCGTATCTACTTGAAAAGCACAACATCGTCAGCTACAAGTAGGCGTGCTCAGTATTCGTTCGGACACGATTGTCTTACCGCTTGTTTGACGAGTAAATGTAATAAATCAACAACTCCGGACTCAAGTTTGAGCCACCCTGGAAAATAGCGGGGTCGGGGGGTGGGGGGTTAAACTTAATTTCCGTCAGAAATAATTCGCAGTTCGCACCCACCGCACGATCCAATGAATTTAGCTCTACATGCCTCCTCCTCCCCTAAAAGTTCGAGCGAATCAGCGTGTCGGAAGAAGGAAGAAAAAAAAAGCACGGAATTCAATGTGTATTTCCAGGTCACGGCTAAAGAGGGTCGAATCGATGGAAACCGAATGAAGCAGGAGAGCTTTTTCATTCACGACGACCAACAACGATATCGCGCGTCCTTTTACTTTGGTGTACACAGGCTGTAATGCACTAGGTACGGGCGAATCGACGATTAAATCAAATGACGCGCCAGCGCGTCCCCTTAACGAGCGACGCTGGCACGTGTACACCATACGTATATACACTTTTTAATTGCGTTACCGGCACACGAGCTCCGTATAGCGACCGATTCCCGTTTCTATACACCGTTGCCAAACAAAAGTGGCAATTAACGGCGTCCCCCGCGCTCCTTTCGCATCTTTTGTGGTTACCCTTTTCGCCCGATATAAAATTCATTTCGCGGAGGGCACGTAAAGTCTCGTTAGGCGGACTTTTATATTTATGTGTGTCTGCACGTGTACACAAAGAGACTCGGCGTCTTGAAACCCGAGTACCTCCTGCGCGTATAATTCACTCGAGGGATGTACTTACGAGGGGTGGGCATTTTTTGTGATGTCATAATACACCCGACGCGTTGAGGTGCGCCTGTGAGCCGAGTGGGGTGTTTTTTTTTTTTTTTTTTTAATTACCATTGTTGGCCTAACTGCGCGTCTCTGCTTTCTGAGGATTTGTTGGGGTGCAATGCGTATGGTTGTACGGGATACAGAGGGGAAACCAAAACTCTTGCGTTGATTTTTCTTGACTTTAAAGCCCGAGGGTCCGTCGAAATAAGGGTTGCGAAAAGTTGGGGACTCGGCATCGACGAGCAAACTAATTAACTTTGTGTTCCCCGCGCTTTCAAGACACGAGTTGCTCGGCAAATTTGCGTAATAGTTACAACAGTTTCCCCCAACCAGGGCGGGGGGGGGGTGGGGGGTTAGAAATTCTCAAAACCACAATTTTCATCGCCACGGCGGGTGTGTGCGTGCAGCCCGCAACAGCGTTCATTAGTAACGTGACGCAATCACAGGGTGGACAAGATACGAGGGGGGGGAAGAGAGTCAGCATTGAGGAGACATCTTGGGGTCACGGGGGTTGCAAGTAACGACTAGATTTATTTTAAAACCCTTACTCTTTGTAATTTTTTTGTTTTTTTTTTTTTTTTCTATTCTCGAGAATGTGGCTGTAATCGCTCGGTTGTGAGTTATCGGCAGAGTGGTGGTATTTTTTTTGTTCCTCCTCGTGACAAATATGCCTCGTTTCTTGCTTACAGAGACTGATAGCCGAGCTGAACAAGGAGCAGGAGGCGTTCATCGCGGGCAAGCCGGGCGAGAAGGGCGAGGCGGTCGCCCCGTGGATCGGCGCGCCCAACGAGGATGCCCTGCGCGAGGAGTGCCTGGCGCTCTCGACCGTAAGTCGCTCCTCCTTTCCTTCCTTCTCGACCACCCCCGAGCCATGTGTCATTTTCTATTCATGTGCATACGCGAACAACCACGTACTTAGGGGCATGCTATACGCACTTGTGGGAGAAAATAAAGGGGGACGTGCTTTCATGCATCATTCGCATTTTTTGCCTGCTTTTGCTCCTCTGACTGGGAATAAAATATCAAGCATACCGTTCGCGTTGATAAAATTATTACTACGTAAAGTTAAGTATAGTGAAATACCACCATAAATAAAGTAAAATGGGTTTATGTGGCAAATAAAATATCCAACGGTTTCATCCAACGTACAATTACATGAAACAATAAAACTTTTTCAATCGATGTTAATTAGAAAAAATTTCATCACTAGAAAACAAAGGTGATTGTTTAATCTAATAAAAAGATAACTTTCTAATCCAGATGCATAAAAGAATTGATTTTTGGTTCCAATTAAGTATTTAGCATATACTAAAGTGTTTTACACTATAATAATAATTTTATAACTAAAACAGTATGCTTTAGCTCACAATAAATAATTAAGTAAGTTGTTCCTTATGATTGTGGCTTGAGCGCTTTGGAAAGGATTTAAATCTTGAATGAAAATTATCACTAGCAGTTGAACATCTTCAAGTACTGTTATCAACGAGTGCGTATTGTACTTAACTTGTATACTACAGTTGTAATTTCTTATTATCACACTTTCATTTAATTTCATTAGTTATTTTACGAAAAAAAAAAAATTTTTTTTCCATTCCAATGAAAGGCATTTCTTTGCACGAGCTACGGTAGAAATATTGAAAATACAAGTTTGCTTCGTCCATGAACGGATAATCAATAGTATTCCCTCGAAGCCCGTCAGAGCCAACAAATGGCATCACATCGTTTTATCTTGGCTTCACTCCAAAGGGGGCTCACTTTTTTAAAGATGTGCTCAAAACTACTTTTTGCATCAATATTCCACACGTGTTCTCATAAAGTGCCATAACATTACGTAATAGTTAATCTTTTTTTTTTTTTTTTTTTTTCCATTATGCATGGGCGTACCTCGCGCGCTCCGATGACTAATGGCAAACAATTTCAGGATCGGCGTAACTTTGTGAGAGCACCGCCACCGGGTGTCGATTTCCCCTGGGATTTCGAGGCCGTGCAGCCAATGGCGCAAGCAACCCTAGCCCTCGACCCCAACCTCGAGACCATGAGGTTCGAGCTCGTACCCAAAGTGTAAGTAAAGCCTTTTTTTTCCTCCACACGAATCGTGCATGGACAATGAAAAAGTTGACGTTTCACATTGATTGGAAAAAAAAAAAAAAAAAACTACAGAATATCCGAGGAGAACTTTTGGCGCAACTACTTCTACCGGGTGTCACTGCTCCGTCAGAGCCACGAGATGAACGCGATGGCCAGCGAGTCGACGGAAAGCAATCCTGGCCAGTTCGCGTCGAGCGACAGCGTTGAGCAGACCCAAGGTAACTTTGTCCTCCCCAAATCAGATTTACGCACTTACACGCGTTAGCGGTCAATTTTTTTTTTTTTTTTTTTTTACACCTTACAGTGTAAAAAACACATATACTTTTCAATTACAAAAAAAAACAAAAAAAAACATAAAGATACAAAATATACTTACCTCGACCTCTTTACCTTTTTCTTGCATTGTATCGTACACCAGTACACTTTGACGCGCAGTGTATAAAACCATCACTTTTTGATGCATCTTAGCATACATGTATATATAATGCCTATAGCTTTGACTGTGTAAGTGCATGACAATCATCACTGTTATCATTGTTAATTGTTATTATTATTGATTACTACTGCGTTGGAGTAGATGTTGGACACAAGTTGCGTGGCTGGATGAAACTTTGTTTATCTGCCCACTTTTCCTTTACTTTCCTTCACTTTTCGTGGTCTGATTCGAAAAAAACATACGTTTCATACGCTGTTGTGTTAAAATCTTTCTGACATTTTTAAACAAACGATACAACGGTGTGCTCTTTTTTTCTTTTTTTCTTTTTTTTTTTTTTTTAATGATAATTTTGCTCCAAACCAAAGTGCACATTTGATGACGTGAACCGCGTAACTATCGGCCCACAAGAGCATCCGAACCGCAGTCCTCACTTTCCATGCCCGCTTAAATTTGTACGACCCTCCGTGGCTCCCCTACTCAACATTCCTGCGAAAGAAGAAAAAATCGCGCTTGTACGTAAAAAGAAAAGGAAAGAGAAAAAAAAAAAAACAAACACGTACACGCCCAGTAGCTAGTAACAGTAGTAGTTGAGTGGAATGTGGTTGTCTTGACGCGAAAGCAGTAGTAGGGTCATCCGGCGAGACGATAAAGGACGGCCCCGGAGCGTCATCAGCCTCGGCGAGCAAGACGAGCCAAGCGAAGGACGAGTCGGGCGCAAAAGATGGGCTCGAGGAGGGCGTGAAAAATCTCGGGATCCAGTCGCGGAACAAAGGTCAGTACTAGTTTATCCGTACGCATAGTTTTACTCTCTCTCTCTCTACCCTCGTCTCTCGTGTGCACTCGTGTACAGTCTCTTGCCTTTTCTCTTCGTTAAAGAAATGCCAGGTATACCTACGATTGTTCGAGTCGACGTTTTACTTTGTGCCCTTCGCTCTGATGTGATTGCTGGGATTTATAAATTCTCGTACTTCATTTTTTTCCCCTCCAATAACATACGTGGCTTCCGAATTTTGTCAATTTTTATTTTCATTGCTAGAGATTAGATTTTCAATCGATAAAATCACGTGACATTGCCAAGATTTGTTGTTTTTACACGAGTCACGAAACAAATGGTTCGTGAAAAAAAAAAAAAAAAAAAGGAGAAAATTTATCTCGAAAGTAACGAGGCACGAGGGAAAAGAGGGCGAGAGAGGGATTACCCCACGGAGCATACCGCGTGAGATCTATACCACCAGGCGCTCGTGAGTATACATTACAAATATATATATGCAACGTATACACATATCATATAAGTGTACATGTATATGATAAATATTTAGCAACCCTTGATTATTGTACCCACATTTTTTAATTCAATTATTCACAAGCCAGCAAAACATCACCCTACCCATTTACGTAATGCAAATGTATGATTATCTCTCCTGTTTGTACATGATACACGGTCCACAGCCCACATGTTACTGTTTGTAGGAGCCTATTTTTCACGTCATCTCCGTCATGTGATGTACATACACTCACGAACCACCAATAAAGTGTCGTTGTCTTGTTTCCCTTGTTGACTATTATATGCTGTTCATAGTGAAAATTGACTATCACTATTTTTCTAACCAACACCGTTTATGATACTGTATATATATATATATATGTATTCTGTCCTCATTGGTTTTTACAACTATTGTTATCGTTATTACTGCATTATTATATGAGTATCGACGTTATCTTGCTTAAAGTCTCTGCCTAGACGCTTTTTCATCCATTGCACCTTTTAGCGAAAATGTATCACTTAGAGCTCTTTCATCATCACATTTATCGCGAATGTTTACTGTACATCCACCTTTACGATACTTTTTTTTTTTTTTAAATAAGAGAAGAGATACGAGAGAAATGAAATACAGACATTGGGTATCTGTATTTTTTTTCTCTTCATTATCACTTTGATTATTCGAAAAAGAAAGACAGCCACACTACGAAAGACTTTACTCGAGGTGGACATTAATTGCTGAAATAATAAAAATAGATTCAACTTTGATTTGATTTTTTTCTTTAAACTAACAAAAAAAAAATTAAAAATTACGAATACAATTTAAAATTTTTGTCCACCTTTACGATTATGACACAATTATTAAACAAAATAATACAACTACTCGCCGATTGTCTTTTGATAACCAAAGTTTCTAAACGTGCGTTTGTTCTTTTTTTTTTTTGCATTCTATTTTGTCAACAGCCTAAAAAAGAAGAGGAGAAAATGTGAGAGAATTCGCTCCCTGTGTTATCATTATACTCAGAGCACTAGTTAAGTCCCCTTTCTTGTAACTTTCTGTTCAAGTACGATAAAAGAAAAAAAAAAAAAAAAATTAAGAAAAAAAGAAAAGAGGAAACAATAAAAAAATACACACCCGGACTGTAGGAAACCAGGCAACAGCTGCGAGTGGCGAGATGCAAAAAATAATTTAAAAAATTATAAATTATTATATACGTATACAACAACAATGATAAATTGTGCGAGCGATGCGATGATGGGAGTTCGGAGCGATCAAGCAAAAAATACGAAGAGAGAATAATGTAGGTTGTAGGATGAAAAAAAAAAAAGCGAATGACACGTATATTATATACACATAAATGAGTATAAATAAAAAATGAGAAGAAAAAAAAAAAAAAAAAAAAACAAGCAGTAATAAGATAAAATGAGAATCCGACCTCAACATCTTGGCCAAACTCCGCCAATCGAGCATCAATTCATCGTTTCAATCTGATTTTTCACTCTTATTCTCATCTCCCACTCGTTCACATCATCTCGTTTTCATAGTTTTTATCTCATTGCATATGACGATATCCCGCCACTCATACGCTCATTTCTATATAAAAACGATTAAAATTTTGAGAACAAGAGGTGATTAGAGAAAAAAAAATTAATTAGAAAATACGTGCGTTTGGAAAATAGAAAATTTATAGTTGGAGACGGTTGGAAACGGTACTGTTTACTGCTAGCATTTATAATTTAATATCGGTGATATACGAGCTTAGAAGTTATTTTATTGCATCGTTTGATAATCGTAACTTTATTGTTATTTCTAAAATTATGTTTATAATCAAAAGGGCGATTTTTGTTTATTGTAGTTTGATTATAAATTTTATTGGATGGTACGGATTTTATTTTATCAACCGTATGAAAATTTTTAGAAAAACGATCGCATGGGAAATCGTCTACTTGTGCGCACGTAAAATTAAAAGAATTAATTTCTTTGAGTGATGTTTAAAAAATGTAATTTGATGAGAGATACGGAAACAAAGACAAATATAGGAAAATACAATTGACAAACGCATCCTTTTATATAGCACTGCCGTGTATCTAGAGTGAAAAGGGAACAGTTGAATGAATAAGTTTCTCGTGGAAACGAATAATCGTATACTCAATCGTAGTTTTTTTGCGAGTCGATTCTGTGGATCTGTATAAATTCCTGTACGAAAAAAAGGTACATGAAAAAAAATAAGAATATTAGAAGGAGCTTTGTCGATTTTCCATGCGATTGAAGGGCGGAACGGGATATCTTTGCGAATGGGAATGGTTAAAACTCAGATGGGAGTATCGTGAATCTCAAAATTTTTCGCTAGGAAAGAAAAAAAGAAACAACTCCAATGATATTGTCTCATATAATGTTAACATAACGTCTGTTCGTCTGTCTTTTTTCGTCTTTTACAAAAAAATACTAAATAAATAATTAAACAATGTAAAGGTACTCGAAAAAAATTAATTACGCCTCCTTGAACAACTGTAAAAATAACTTTCTTCGTGTTGTACAAGATTCGTGTAAAAGTATCCGTATCACGAAGATAATTAAATTCACGTAACTTTGAGCCGCGTATAATCATTGAAAGTAGACAAACTAATAAAAAAAATACAGACAAGAGTTTGAGCAAACGAGTAATTATTATTAAAGAAAAAAAGTTGAAAAACGTGAAATTAAAGATAACATCTAAAATAATGTAAATTAAAAAGTCGTACATTTAAGTATATAGGCACTTAATTTAAATGGATAAATCATTCAAATGATAAAATAAATTAAATGTAATAATAAAAACATTCGTTGAATGACAATACGTGTGTTATACCGTAAAAATAATATCGTAACAATCTCGGGTCACTTTTGGCAAGGTGAAGATATTTTCTCGTTTTGATTAATAAAATACATAAATAATAAAAACATAAATTAATAAACATTAAATATATTAATTCGAATGAAAAATGTACAACTGATGCTAAAAAAATGGATGTGGACTGAATTAGTTTTATTCGATGAAAAAAAAAGTAAAAAACACGTAGTATTTGGATGTTTTGAGAAATATTTAATAAAAGGAAAGGGAGTGTGATTTTAGAAGGTGAAAAGGGTAAATTTAAATTCATAAAAATCTTATGTTTGCTGAAAAGTTCTAATCTATCTTGGCTTGATGATCGGCGTATCAGATATATACAAAGTCATAAAATTAATTTAAAAGTTACCAAGATAGTAGTTTTTGTATTTGTAAAGTAGGAGAATCTTATATGATTAGACATTATAAATAAAAAAAATAGATTCAACTTTGATTTGATTTTTTTCTCAACGTTAAATTATAAATTTAAGTGAATTCTTGTTGAAAAGTTCTGTTTAAAGTTATGAACAAATGGTGCAATTGTGTGACTGCGAAAATAGATGCAAACACCTATATAGATAAAAAAAAAATTAAAAAAAAACTAACTGTAAGAAGAATAAACAACTCGTCATCTATAAAAACAAATAAATGAAAACAAAAGAAGCTGCGTTCTGCCGAAACACTTGTTACTGCAACAACACCAGATCAAAAAATGCAATTATTTCAATGATTTGCGAACTTCCCCATATTTTTATCGTCTTTGTACAGTCAATTAAAATTTCAATAGCAGACCCTCGTATATTTGTTAATGATTGATTGGTTCTATGTAAAATTGTAGGGCATTAAGGAGAGAAAATAAATTTTCATTTATTTTCTTTTTCTCGGGCGATGAAAGTAAGAGAAAACGTTTTTAAGGTGCGATATTTTTGAGAGAGGAGCAATGATGGAAAATCGCTAGATAGAGTATTATTAATAAATCTTTATATAATATATGTAAACTGTAAAATCTGTATATAGATTTAAGATTAAGGTATTCTAAAGTACCTTTCATCTCATTATTTCATTGTCATTTCCTGTTTTTGATGTTTAAGTTTTCCATTGCCAATCAACAAGACACCAACACTCACTCGAACATATTTAAGTAATGATAATCACTTATTCATGGTATAAATCTATATTTAGTTTCATGAGAATGTGTACAATTGGAAAAATTAATTTTTGTGCAAATATTTTTATGCAACTGTATCTCATTAACATGATACATGTGATTAAAATTTAATAATCGTAATGATGAATAGTTTTTTTTTGTTTGATTACGATAACCAAACATAATTGTTCAAATACTGACTGTGTGTTTCTAAATGACAAAAAATTTTTGTTAGTATTTTTACTAGAATAATGTTTGTATCCGAAATCGCGTTTCATCAAAGTAAATATTGTTTTTTGTTTTGTAATACATGATACACATCAATAACAAAAATTCTCTGGGGTTGCGACAGCCAACTACCCTAAGAGAAATCCACTACATCCACACTTTTTTCATTTCTCGCAAATCTCATCAGCAAATGTAGAAAAATAAAGAATAATAACAATAAAACATCGTGTGAAAGAGAGATAACGAAAACAAGCTTCCCCCAAAATAAGTTCCCTTTTTGCACTCGACCGGTAAAATAAATCTCTACCAAACCGATTGGAGTAACAAAAAAAAATATTGAACCCCTGCCCCAGCAGAAGAGGAATGGGAGCGCGAGCTAGAGGCCGAACTGAAGGACTACGAGGTGGTGCCAGGCAGTCAGGATTCAAAATCAAAGGACGACTGGGAGGACGAGGGTCAAATCGACGATTTCCTCAACGAGGACCTCAAGTGAACGAATTAATCCTCTGTCGAAAATCCACCGACACATACACACGTTAACGATAATAGCTTACTGTTATTTTTCAAAGAGTACGCGGGAAAGAAAAATAAATAAATATCGAGCCAAGGGTAAGGGTATAATTATGTGAGCGCACTTTTACCTTTTTTAGCTTTTCAATCGAGGGTTGCTTCAACGAGTGATTTTTAGAGAGTATATTGCGACCGAGGGTTGCTTGCGAAAGAGCTTGGCTCATAGTATTGCATCCATCGTTACATGTTTACTGTATAAAGAGGCTGTTTTATTTTTCAAGTTAAAGAAATTCTATAAACATCTCGAAAAAATTGCATTGTCATCAAAAGACGTTCTTGTTCTGACTTTTTATTTTTTAATTTTACGTATCTGTGCGTTGCTGAAAATCTTTAAAATAAATAAATCAATAAAAGTCATCAAACATTGTATATACGCTTTGTTATAGTTCTGTGGGTAAAGAAGAACTAAGAATTGAAAGAAAAAATCGTCTTATAAAAAAAAAAAAAAGATAATGAGTAATGCAAAAGATAAAGAAAAAAAATTAATCAATTGTTTAAAAAAATGATGAACGCAATCGCACAAGTTCCAACGGACCTTTTTCATAAATAATGAAACTAAACAGATGCAAAATAAAAAAAAAAAAAGAGAAGATAAAATAATGGCAAAAATGAGATGCAAGTTCTCATTTATCGTTGTGTAATAATAAGAAGAAAAAAGAAAATGCAACGTTTGTTGGGCGTGTACATGACCGCATATTTATTGGTAAAAAAGCAAAAATATATAATGTATGAATAAAACATGCCCACTCGAGCTCTGCGCTGCTTTACCGCCTCACAACGCTTGCAATGGCGCATTTTTTTGGAAATTTTGCTTGATGTATGCTTTTTTCGCGAGGTGAATTTTAATGATTGTAGAAGAAAAAATGATTAATGATTATATTATCATTATAATTAATAATAATTGCGTGATAAGATAATTTATGGCTTATATTTATGATGTTTTCTGAGTGCGCCTGATAATTTTATTTGTGGACACTTGTTTTTTTTTATCAAAAAAATCGTACATTGTATTTATGAAAAAATGATTATTTTATTTTTTAATATTATTAGATCGACAATGTACGTCAAGTTAATTCGAATGGTTAGTCCAAAAACAAGTGGCAATAAATAAACGATGTATTTATGTATGATAGACAGGTGGCAATATATATACATGCCTCATTTAAAAAAAGGCAATCTTAAGTCAGACATGCTATTTTTTTACTTTTTTTTTAATTTAGCAAAATATTATTTTAACATCAAGACATTTGCAACACTCCATTTTTCTAAGTTTATCATCTAATATTGATTACATCAAGGATTTTGAAACACTTTTTAGCATCTTAAACACCAATACAGATTCATCTACCGAGGGATGAAGATGTAAACGCAATAAATATTTTTTTGAGCGAAGATTTTAACCAAAGAGTTTCATATGCGGAATTTGTTTTGCAATTATATTGAAGCCTTTCACGCCGTGAGAACGATATAAATGATTATCTTCCTCTGTTATTAAGTGTATAAAAAAATATTCTAGTTAACATTGAATGTTGCGAAACATAATAATGATTGTGGAAAAGTTATGAACAAATGGTGCAATTGTGTGACTGCGAAAATAGATGCAAACACCTATATAGATAAAAAAAAAATTAAAAAAAAACTAACTGTAAGAAAAAACAAATAAATGAAAACAAAAGAAGCTGCGTTCTGCCGCTACTTTCAGCAATTATTTGTATAATCATGTTTTTGTATAGTTAAATGAAAAAAAATATATATATATAAATATATACATGAGAGTATAAAATAAATAGACAAAAAAATCAAGCTTCTTCAAGGCGAACCTTGGCGATTCGCATGTAACAAATGCTTTTCGACAATTCATCACCTTTTTTTCATTTGTAGGAGAGGATTCTTACTAAAAAGTTACATAATGACTGATGATTGGTTTGAAAAACAATTAAATTTTCCATTGTCATAGTAACGCGCATTTAAATATATTTTAAGTCATAAAGAAATTATTCATCATCTCAGTTTCCCTGTTTACTCTGCATTATTTCTGGTATAATCGTCAGGGAAAAAAAAAAAAAAAAGAAAAATCGGAAAATATGGAGCCACAGCAAAAATTAATACGATGACGAGAAGCATCATACTGTTGTTTGTTAGAGTTATTATGTAAAGAAAAAAAAAGGATCTGATAATTTTAAGAACTCTTTTTAAAAGTACAGAAAAACAAATTAGAAAGTTTTCGTTTAATTTAATCCTACGTGTACGTGTGTGCAACAAAAAAAAACAGAAAAGAAAAATGGATGATAATCAAGGTTATGAAAAAAAGAAAAACTTATAGAAACACCTGAAATTTTCTTAGCCGATTTTTGTTGTGGACAAACGGCAAAAGATAATGTTCGAAAAAATTATGGATGTCATTTTGTATTTAGACAAAAAAAAATGATCTAGTTTTTTCGTGTTTCTGTAAGATTTTCCATGTAAATTACAAAAAAAAAAATCTTTCGCTTTTATCTTTTCAAACAAAGACCAGACGACTATAATTATAATTAACAAGAGGTTGAAAGATATAATATATATATGACAAATGGAATTTCCCACCGTACATAAGTACTAACTCGGGCCTAATTCCCTTGATACACAAGAATGCCGAGTGCAACTAGCAGAATGTTTTTTCAATAACTGTGTACATTCCTCAAATAATATATGATAACGTTGAAAGGACAAACGAGAAACGATGTAAGGTAACAGTGGAAAAGGAGGACTGAAAAATATTAACTATTAAAAGCAAAAGAGCGAGAGGTTTGGTAAGAAACAGGATTACTTCTGAATGTGATTTGACATTTTCGAGAGAGTGGCAATTAGTAAGACGATGATGTTTTAAAGAAAAATTATGATTATCGTATATAAATATGTATACATATAAGTTAAGATAATTTAACAGAAAAATAAATAAGAAAACGGAAATTCGGTGCGATTTACGAGAGTATGTGGAAAACAGATTACACGATACTTATGTATAAATATATTATTAAATAAATAAATATATATATACATGTTGTTGACTCCATTGAAAGTATGATAATTCATATACAAATGTACCTAACGATGAACACAAAAATATTGCAGTTTGCGCAAAGAAGAGCCCTCGAGAATATGGAAAAAAGTGAATAAACAAAGAGCCGCAAAAAAGTTGGGTTTGGAAAATAATGATGGTGATGATGCTGTTAAGGAATGAAATGAGATATTGTAAATGAAAATGCCAGGTCCTTGTACCTTGTGAAAAAAAAAAAAAAAAAAAAAAAAAAAAAAAAAAAAAAAAAAAAAATAAAAAAAAAA